CTTGAAAACGGCAGAAGAAACTGAGTTAAAGAAATGTCTTGCCAGTCTTCTCCCAAGTCCTGATACTCACTACCTGCTTTCAAGTGGCATCACACAGCAGAGAAAGTCTCTGTTTCAGTGCCCGAAGCATTCGAGATTATTGCCGCAGAATGACTTTTTGCTTGACGGAAGCAGCCTTTTGATAAGACTGGTGGATTATGAAATAGTCACATGTCAAATGACCACAGAGTCACAGAGCTGGAAATTTCTAGAGCAAACAGCCACAGCCTGTGGTATAAGAGAAGGGACTGTCTTCTCTTCCCTCACCCCTCCTGGGGAGTGGCCCCCTGCGTTCTGGGTTACTTCTGTGTTTTATCACCTTTCTGGTTAAGAAAAGGGCACACAAACCTCTTTTGTTTTGATTTAGGTCAGTTTCTCCTCCTAATAGAAAATGCACACGTATTAATAGGTCTAAACGTTTGGAAAAATCTATACCCAACTTCTCTTGAGAACAGGGGGAGACATGCATAAAGGAACGAGGAGACGGAAAAGAAGAATGGAAAGAATGTAAAGTCAACAGAAATAACTGCTATCATTTAGTGTGCAGGAGGAGGGCTAAACTGTTTATTAGGATCTTCCCTAAGACTCCACATTCCCAAAGCAGGAAGCCTGCGTTCAATCCCTGGTCAGGGAACCAGATCCCACATGCTGCAACTAAGAGTTCGCATGCTACAGCTAAAAGATCCCACGTGCTACAACGAACAACTGGCACAGCCAAATAAGCAAATATTTCTTTAAAACTATGTATCAAAAACTAGGATGAATGATAAGTCATGTTGACCATATGTGCCCCTGATACGATGTAGGGAGAAAGGCAGTTAATATCCCTTCTCAAAACCTTAGCCCCTGTCTAATTACGATGAAAACATCAGCCAGACCAAAATCAAGGGACATTCTACAAAATGTCTGGCCAGTACTCTTTAAAAGTATCACGGTCATTAAAAACAACAACAACAACAACAACAAGGAAAGACTGAGAAAGTGGAACAAGCCAGAGGAGACTAAACAGCCATGATGACTAACAGCACATGGAATCCTGAACGGGATCGGGATTGCAGAAAGGACAATGGAAAACTGGTGACATTCACAGGAAGCCTGGAATTTAGTCAACAGTAACGTACAAATGGTAATTTCTTAACCGTGACAAATGTACCACAGTTACATAAGATGCTAACACAGGGGAAAGTGGGTGGAAGGGAACTCTCTATACCCCCTCTACAACTCCTCGTAACCTAAACGTATTTCAAAGTTTATAGCTGATCTTTAAAAATGAGAGAATATTTGATCATGAAAAGACTTCTGCGCTTACTTCAGAGAAAGCCAATGTGCTTCGGTTAGTGCTATTCTGATGGTGTGGTTACTGAAAATAGCTGTCCATCCGCCAGGTTTTAAATAACCCTTGGGAAGCTGTTTGTTTGTTAAAGCTTCATTTCCTCTGTTCATGTGAAAAGCAGAGGGAACCCGTCAAAGGAATATTGCTTGTGCAATTGTGTGTATTGGGGATAAGTGTATTAACCTCTTTAAAATTTTGGCTCCTCATTAAAAAAATTGGGATACCCATATTGGATTTCCTTTTTATTTATTTATTTTGGTTGTGCTGAGTGTTCGTCGCTGCGCATGTGCATTCTCTAGTTTCGACGAACGGGGGCTAGTCTTCGTCGCGGTGCGTGGGCCCCCAGTGTGGCCCACTTTCTGGGGAGCACAGGCTCTCAGCACAAGCTTTAGCAGTGGCAGCATGTGGGCTCAGCAGTTGCTGCTCATGGGCTCTAGAGCATGGGCTCAGTAGTTTTGCCATAAGAGTTCATTTGCTCCAGGCTATGCGGGGTCTTCCCGGGCCAGGAATCGAACCCATGTCCCCTGCCTTCCAGGCAGATGTTTATCTACTGTACCACCAGGGAAGGCCTCAATTGACTGCTCATTGCCTAGACGCTCTAAAATTTTATGATTCACTTGAACAAACCATACAGTAAGTATGAAAAACAAAAATTGTTTCAAATTAGTTTGCGGACACCATTTGTCCGGCTGAGGCAAGAGGAACTGAGGTACAGCTGAATTGCTGATACACTGTTGTTTCTTCATATTATCTAAAAAAGTTAACAAGGCAGGGCGCTCTGGAAACTTGGCAGAGGAGTCTGGAAAGGCAGGCGTGGTGATCTCGGGAGGTCAATCTATGCAAAAGTGATGGCTTTTACAGCCAAAGGGAACAGGAGGAACACATTCAGAAAGAGAAGGATGAAGCTGCAAAAGAATAAGGTGTGAGAAAGGATACAGAATTGGGGAAACAAGGTCTGCCAAGCAATGTGAAGGCCAGGGAAAGCAACGCAAGCCCATCTCATGGAATTCTCTGGGGCCCTGTCAAGATGGGCCTCCAAGAATCCAAGAAGAGTCAGAGCTTTAAACCAAAAAGGAATCTTGACTGTTCAATAGCAAGAGACCCTCCTTCTCTAATGATGAGTGGAGACAAATGACTTAGTCTTACACAAGAGGTAGAAAATGAGAGCAAAGCAGCAATGACAATGACCTAACGTATTCGATTTCAGGAAGAGCCAGCCTTCCAGGGGCAGACGGAGCACCTGAATGATTCATACTTTGAACCAATGCCCGCTGAATCATATGACACCAAGTATCTGTGTATAATTACCTCCTGGGTACAGAGCTGTTACTGCAGAATTCCCTCAGACACACTAAAATATTTAAAAGAAAAAAGGCAGCCACAAACCCTGAAGATTTATCTTTGACAGATTAACTTCCCCTGATGAACACAGGAATAAGGCTACACAAGCTCATGGTCATGAAGCACCCTGGGAACCACACTGTATCACACGATCCCAGGGAAAGTGTGGGTCTCTCACCCATAAACATCTAAAGGCTATTTTTTTCCTGATGTCTACTATGGGCAAAGTTCTGTGCCTGGGAAACACAAATAGAAAAGAAAAAAAGCCTGCCCTTGAAGAGGTTATAATGTAAGAGAAGAGCCAGCTATGTTTAAAGGAAATACATCATGCCTTTCTATCATAAGTTAGCTACCATTTGTATAATGACTTAAGACACTTTTACCTTTATTCTCTGGAAAGAATCCAAGCCACACAGAGCCTTGTGTGGCAAGATTATTCTTGTTTTTATCCACCCCGGTCCCACCAGACAATGACAGATGTCCTCAGAGACACTAAGTGGTTGGGTGACCTACTTAAGATGACCGTCGGCGAGAAAGGCGGTCAAACCCAGACTCCATGCTTTCTTCTGCTACAAATACAGATCTGTTGTCCCAGTTTGCTTTTAAAACTTTTTACCTTCCACATCTTACAGTTCACAAAAGAGAGTCTGTGGATCTGAATTTGTTTATCATCCCTTCTCTGAATTCAATGTATCTCTTCCACCTGAGAAAGAGTGGCTTTCTACAACTTAGGAAAGGTCTCACCCGTATCTCTTTACACGTTGCCTCATTCTCATGTGCTCCGGCCTCTCCTTCTTGAATCTGATTAGATGCTGCTAGACCCTCTCAGTCCCTCCTCAACACTGGCTTTTCATGACTCTTTCACACTGTCCTCTGCCCTGCATTCTGGACAATCTCCTCAGCTCTCTCTTCCATACCACGGTCGCCTCATCTCCTCATATGATATGCTAGCTCACGCTTTCTAGAACCTGTAAGTTCTTTTTCATTGTGTCCGTTCTTCCATCAGGCTCCTCTAGCCTGTTCTGCCTGAAATCATTTCCACACACTTACTGCACAGTCTCTGGCAAGCTGTCCAGGAGCACTCCATATCTTGCTTGTCACAATCGCTGACTGTCCTTCAAGCAGTTCAACAGTGAGTCCCTCCTCCAGGGGGACTGTGTGTCGTGAGAAGACCTCACGTGCCCAGGGCTGGGGGAGTGTCCCCACTGATCACTGCTCCGTGTGCGCTGATGGGTGGTATCCCTCCCACAGTCTGCTTTCTCGCTAATTTCCCCACATGGGGAGACATGTGGATCACGTATTCAAAGTGACTGATGTCACTCAAACCACATTTACTGTGCTTGTCACTCTCTGTGAGACAAAAATGCAATATCCCTGCAAATCGTTATAATAAAAATTGTGTAAAAAAGTTACAGAACATGAAAAGCATGGGAACACCAGATGTGAAGGCTCCCTCCTCCCCCACGCATACGCAGAGCATCCTGACCTGGGTCTGGGGCTCCAGTGAACCCCTCTGACTCTCTGTCCAGAACAGGCTCCCTTATTAAAGCTGTGTTTCACCAATGTGAGAAGGGATGCTGACACGGTGTGTTCAAAATGAATGCTGCTTTTAAGGTGTTATCATTATATTATTATTATAAGTATACACTATAAAGTATTAATTTGATTTGCACAAGCTGTTAATGACTGGTCTTAGTTGTCTATGATTCTCTACAAGTCCCATTAATCCTTCTCTTGTAACAGTCATAATCAGTTTGCTACTATGAACAACTTCTCAGTTGATAGTATGACACTATCTCTAAAATTATACCTAGAAAGGAGTTCTAAGACAATTTTAGTTATTATGTATCTTCCAAAGTGACATTTTAAAAGTGAAACTAACACATCAGTGTCACCATGCTGGAGATTTTACAAAGATAAATTAAAGAGCTGATAAGGAAATGCTAATATTTACAGTGCAACTGTCACGGAAATATATAACTACATATCATTCAGCCATATTTACCGGTTTGAAAAGTGGCCTCTCACAGTTATTTAATAATTATCAAGATTTCCTTTCAACATACAGACTACCGTCCAGCAAAACAAAACTTGAAGCTATTCTTTCAGCATCAGTCCTTCAATGTGTCAAGGAAGAAAAACAACGGGGAACTTTTGAAAGCATTTCCAGCAGATATATCTCTATTTGAAAGTTTTACATTGAATAAAGTTCTAACATTACTTCTTTTAAGGCACAAAAATACCCCCACTTAGGTCATATAATATAAAATAAGTATTTTTTTCCTACCTCGGAACTTCTTGGGAGGGTTGGCCAGGTCCCCTGCTTCTGGATGCACCACACATCGGTCATCCACCAGTCTGGAAGGAAAAGAACATTCACACTGTTGACATCGTCGGGTTCACAGAGCATAAAAGACACATGAAGACTGCATCAATATTTACAAAAAGTTTTGACTACCACTCTTCATTCAGAAATGTCTGAATAGTCGTGGATTTATAAAAAGATCTGGTTATACAGGCATGAATTAAAGCAGGGTTTACAAAACTCAAAACCAAAAAACTGTTAAGTGGTGGGCTTCCCAGGTGGCGCGGGTGGTAAAGAATCCGCCTGCCAATGCAGAAGACATAAGAGACGAGGGTTCAATTCCTAGGTAGAGAAGAGCCCCTGGAGCAGGAAATAGTAACCACTCCAGTATTCTTGTCTGGAAAAATTCCGTGGACAGAGGAGCCTGGTGGGTTACAGTCCATGGGGTTGCAGAGAGTCGGACATGACTAAACACTGAGCATCAGCAGGAAACGTCAGAGAAATCACGATACTGACACGCTGTGAAACTGCAGAGCCAGTTACAATTCTATTTCTTAAAGGCAGTGGTGCGGGAAACATTTATAGTATGTGGTGGAAATAAGTGGGAACAAATCAGTAAGACATTGTATATATTTAAACACACACACCCCTCTACAGAGACACATATCAGGACTGGAACACAGACACCAGAACATTAACAGGGATTAGACTGCCCATGGTTTTTATGTTCCAGTGTGTAGGCGAGCGTGTTTTGTTTTATTTTTATAAGGAATGTGTATGCTTATGAGATCAGGCTCACAGAGTGATGACATAGTGGGATAAGAAGTGCTCATCCTGTGTTCAGTGATGGCTCAGCCATTTCCCAGCCAGATGGGGGTTTACCTCCTTCGCTATATCTGCAAACACAGATAAAGAGTACCCACCTCATGGTATTGATAGGAGGACTGACTTCATAGCTGTAACGTAGCTAGCACAGTTTCTAGCATAGACTAGGCCATTAAATACTAAGTATTTAAGATAATAACATTAAGGACTTCACCTGCCTTATTCCTATCTTCCTCTAGAAGGATGCCTGACACTTAGTGATGAGTACTCAACAAATTTACTCAAACGAATAGAGTACCTTTCTAGTTACAAAAACTTGCCCCTACTAAAATATCCATGAAAAGCCAATTTTGAGGACAATTCCCAGAAAAGCTGAATCTCTGATCTGAGAGCCAGGAGACATGAATCTCTGTGTCAGGGTAATATCTAACTACCAAAAGACTCGCTGATAGTCATTTTCTCCATTGACTAAGTGATGAGAGCCACTAGGGTTTTCTCCAGAATATTGTGAGAATGCACATGAATTAGTTCCAAATTTATGAGCTCATTTGAAGAACGATGCCCCAGTTGCAACTTTGTTAAAAAGCATGCATTAACCCCAGCACAAAAGTAAACCCCACTCACTAGTATACATTAACCCCAGCATAAAGTAAACCCCAATTCGTGATCAACGGTCCCCTTGAACTAGAATAATTAACCAAATCAAGATGAAACTTTTGGTTCCTGGTTTATCTGTTTACAAAAGCAGACACTTCCTAAATCACTGGATTTCTCTATAAGATTCAATTTCCACCAAACAAAATAATAATTTGATCAAGCATATAGTTCTTTGATTTTTTTTTTTAGTATACTTCATTCATACTGGTTTACTAAAATGTGGTTTTACAAGGGCTGCCAAGCATGCAAGAAATTCCTTTTAAGAGTCTTCAAAATTGTTTTCTTAGAAACAGGAAGTCACAATGGGTCAAGAGAAAGCAAACCCAAACCTCCACAAAATCCAACTTCAGGCTGTAACACAATATAATATTTAAATCTAAAAACATGCTGTGAGGGAAGCTTAAGCTTTTCTAACTAGTTATATTGTGGGGGAAGGAGAGGGTAGGATGAATTGGAAGAGAAGCACTGACATGTATACACCACATGTGTAAAATAGAGAGCTAGTGGGAAGCAGCTATATATCACAGGGAGCTCAGCTCGGAGCTCTGTGATGACCGGGGCGGGGAGGGGCGAGGCGTGGGAAGGAAGCTGAAGAGAGAGGGGTTACCTGTATACTTATACCTGATTCATGTTGATATACAGCAGAAATCAACATAACATAACAACATAACAATTATCTTCCAATTAAAAAAAAAGATAATTCAAAACATAATAATCAAAAAAAAAATGACATGACTTAGCAACTGAACAACAACAACTCATCTAGAGCACAGAAAATTTGTACTAAAAGAGGCACTGATATTTTACTTAGTCTTTGTGTCTGCCGTTCCCATAGAAATACAAGCTCCCCTAGAATCGCCCAAGCAGCCTCCACCTGCAAGGTGGCTCGCCACCAAGAGGAATGGGAAAAAACTAAAGCCATCAGTCAGGTCACAGTGCATTTACGTAAATATTTATGCCTACCCTCAATCATTCTGATAGCCCAGATAAAAACGTTAGTAATTAAGAGTGACTTCAGTTCTAAGAATTTGTCCTATCCCTTGCAAACCAAAGTCTGTGAAAATTACAAAGACAGTCATCTCATCATACAGACTGAATGAACTGGACAGTTTGGACAGAATGGAAGAAAGGGGAGGTTATGATGAAATGAGTGGCTAAAGAAACAAGTGTGAATTTTAATAACAGTGTGAAACAAGTGTGAATTTTATAACAGTGTGAATGTTATAAAAACATGTATGATCACAGATGTTAAATGTTAAAGATGAATATACTGCACAACTTCTACAATATCTCCAAGAGCCTCTTCTTGAATACCTTCAGGGCCAGAGTATTCACCACTTACCATCTTCCTGCTCTGTTTTATAAGTCTTTTTCCCATCACAGTACTTAAATTTTCTAACTACTTGCTTATTAGTCTGATCTTTCAATAAATTGTAACTCCATGAAGTCAGAAATTAATCCATCTAGTTTACCATTATATATTTGGCATCCATTAGAATGAGTTATAGTGGCCACTAAGTAAATATTTGTTAAATAAATAAATGAATCAATGAAAAACAATGAGACTGGCTTTCCCAAATAACTTTCCCTTTTTGGTCTCAGTTCTTTCTTTTGGGCTGTTTTCTTTTTCTAGGATGAACAAGTCTATTTCTCTCTATGGATATTCCCTCATATGGATATTTACCAAGGAGCTCAACATCCTTTCATGCATCTAAGTGTTAACACCCCGCATAAATGTGATCCCAGAGACTATTCACATGAATCCAGGTGCATCTCCAACAAGTGCAGGGGTCAGGGGTCTCTCACCTCCTTCTTTTCGACACTAAGCTTACAGTTATGCTACCTAAGAATACATCAGCTTCCATGGAAGTCAAGCCCACTTCTGACACTCACTATAGCTGACCAATTTCAGGTTTTCTCACGTGTACTACCGATAAACCAGGCTTTCCCATCCACCACTGGAGCAGTTAACTTTTATAACTTACGAACAAGGGTTTACAATTGAATAGGTACAAATATAAAGATCGACCTTTGGCCAATGAGGAGAAAATCACCTGAAAGTCATCTATACCATCCTGAAGTCATTTAAATACCTTCTCATGATCATTTCCCATTTTTCTCACTCATAAACAGTGTTTCCCAAATCTGGCTCATTGGCTGAATCATATATACATGAAGTAATAATAATACCTTTCTTTGGTCCCTATCTAGCAAACAAAAATTTCTGAGGATACAGTCTAAGAATCTGTATTTTTTAAACACTACCCAATCTTTCTTGAATGGATTAGTAGCACCTATATTCCCACAGTACCTGAATCCATCCTCTAAAAGAGAACTTCTTACACTCCATCAAGATTTCTTACACATGTATATTTTACTAGCACAGCAAAGTATAAGTTCCAGGAGAGTCAGCACATTTCTGTTCTGCATGAATGCATGCATGCTAAGTCACTTCAGTCACGTCCAATTCTTTGCAACCCTATGGACTATAGTCCGCCAGGCTCCTCTGTCCATGGGATTCTCCAGGCAAGAATACTGGTGTGGTTGCCATGCCCTCCTCCAGAGGATCTTCCCAACCCAAGGATCAAACCCACATCCTTACGTCTCCTTCACTGGCAGGTGGGTTCTTTACCACTACTGTCACCTGGGAAGCTCTCACCATAATATGCCCAAATCTAAATGTTGGTCCTCAAACATACAAGATGTTAAGTATTAACTGAGTGAATGACTGAGTCACTTTTTGAACAACTGAGTAAATCAATGTGGTATTTTTGGTATTAGTAGATCACAAAATCAATAAAAATAACTGGAACTAACAAATGGTTAACTAATAGTAGATGGAAGAAAGGGTGACATATCTCAGAAAGTTATCAAAGATGTCAAATCCTGATAAGGACCAAAACAGCCTGCTCTAAATAAAAAATATCTTATATAGAACCTTTCAACTTCGATCTGTCAGTACACTTTTTAAAGGGTTGTATTAATCTCCCCCATTTGAATCAGCAAGTAGGCCAAACGGGCATTATAGCCACAGCCAAAAATCCTCAATCTGTCACTGAAACTCAGCTAACATAAAACCTGTTATCTTTCATATCTATCTTCTCTTCGTAAGGTCATAACTGTAAATTATTTGTTCATTGTAATTAATAAGGAAAAAAATCATTCAACAATTAGACCTTCCAAGGAATCTATAAGGAGATTTCATTAGCTACTTTGAATGATTTTATGCATAAATATGAATCAAAAATATACATAAATCAAATTTTAACTGGACAGATATGCCCCCTAGAGAAATCTTACAAATTTTGTGCATCTGAAGACATGTGTTGATACAAGAGTTTTCGAGGCAACACTTCATGACAGCAAACACTGGAAAAACTCAAATGTTCATCAGTAATAGTAATGTGAATAAATGTACCATGACAAGTGAGTAATTTCAAGCAAAAGAGAACTATTTTAAAAGGTGAATAAATTGCAGCTGCATGCAACAACACTCAAATACATGAAATGGAGCTAAAAACAAGTAAGTCTCAAATGTTATATAATTCCATATATATAGAAGGCATAAGTAGGCAAAATTAAATAGCATATATTTTAGGGATACACATGAAGTGTAAATAAATTATTGTATAAAAATACATGACTCTCCAATTTTTAAGCAGACTTCCAAAAGAAAGCAAATTACTCTGTCAGTCTCCAGTCCCTTATTATTTCACCAATTGTAGAGAAAATGCCACAAAATAGATAAAATACAATATGTTAGTTATATGTTTTTCCTCATGAAGCCATAACTGATATTCCTACCTTTGAAATATTATACTTTTTTAAATAAGTGTGTTATCTTCCTGATATCTGCCTACCACACATATGCGACCCTTGTGCAATGAAGTGATATAGTTCATTTCTAATAAAATGGTTTTGAAGCACATTTAAATAAAATGAATTTGAGGGGAGAGAGAAGAAGGGGAATCCACAGGAGGCATTATTAAAAACTATTAGTAAGAAAGAGAGCTAATATTGTGAGCAGGTTCATAAGTATGATGGAATTACCTTTACAGAACTCTCAGGACTCTGTCACAAATCATTTTACCCGTAACTGGGAGTTTTTTTGTTTTTTTTTAATTTTTTTTTCCATTTATTTTTATTAGTTGGAAGCTAATTACTTTACATCATTACAGTAGTTTTTGTCATACATTGAAATGAATTAGCCATGGATTTACATGTATTCCCCATCCCAGTCCCCCCTCCCACCTCCCTCTCCACCCGAT